AACCATCTCCTTAACCTAGCCGCCTGCTGGATGACGCTTTCGTCCCTGCGGAGTTCCAGAACCGCCAGGTAGCGCTCGCGCTGTGCGGAGGTCAGCTCTAATGCCTATATATCGATCTGGGCTAACAACAGAGCCATCTTGCCTCCGCAGGGGTTTAGGATGCGGTCGAGGTTTAAAATATCGGCCTATTCCACCACTACCGCTTCCTATCACCCAAGGTATAAGCGGGGTATCACTAATTATTAAAATTACACTAATTATTTAAATATTAAGTATTAGATATTGCTATTGGAATATTTAATTTTATCTAATAATAATATTTAATTCATAACTCTATCTAATAGCAATATTTAATATTTAATATTTAATGTTACCTTTACACTGCGAGCCTTTTGCAAGGCACTCTTCCATGTATAGTTCTCGTGCGCCTTTCTTAAAGCACATTTCTATTGTAACGAGGGCAGCGCCTTATTCGGCACTGACGTCACCAATTTATTAAGGGGAGAGTAAGAGAGGCACTTTCGTTCTTTAACAATCGGGGAACGAGAGGATAGGTCGAACGAATAAATAATTTTCCTTAATTAGAACACACAACTTAAATCTATTCAGACAAACAAATACAAGATCGGTTATAATAAAAGTTTACATCACATGCACATGAACAGAACGACTTAAACTAACGCGGGAGGATGAATTGCCCGGCGACTAAATCGCCTTGACCATTTGCCTCCTTACAAGTAAAAGAATACATCGAAACCTTACTACCGCATTACGATGAGCGTAGCCGGCAAGTGATTGTCTGGTTACCTATTGTTCCTACGCGGCCGCGCATCACCATGAGAGAGAGAAATACTGGGAGAGAGAGATAACCTGACCTTTGTCCTTGGCAATGAGCCGGCAACGGGGAGTTGACCTGGCCGCTGACTGGACGTCTTCTTCCGCGTAGCCCATGGTGAACCCACTGGAAGTCGTGCCGTGCACGGTGGCGAGGGCGGCACTGAATGCCCTGCTGCAGGTGTTGTCGCCACACGTAGCCTTGTCTCGCCCTGGTCTGGTCACTGCTGCACGTGTACTTCTTTCTCTTTTTGCGCTGCTTCTTTCTCTTCGCTACTTCTAACTTCTCCCTGATACTTTCTTCCGGCCGCTGTCTAAGTCTGACGTCTCTCCTTAACTGTTTTCCGGATACTGTTGCACGAGCCTTGACGCATGGTCAGCGTTCGCACTCTCGCCGGGCTCTCCCCACCAAGCCCACTCATTAGGCGGCGTGCGACAAAAGCGCTAATTGGTCGCGCGTCACACGCCGGCCCAAACCTGCATAGTGCGTGCATAGGCGCGCACTCTAGCATGCTCGCTAACTCTCTCTCTCTCTGTCTCTCTCTGTCTCTCTCTGTCTCTGTCTCTGTCTCTCTCTATCTCATAGTCGCTGCGCTCTTGCTTCTTCGGGCGCTCTCAATCTTGCTCGGCAATCTTCGGCGGCTGGAAAAACATAAAGGCCAGTGGTTAGGCGCAATAAATATATGCGCCCAACGCTGACCACGTCGCCATGCCGAGCGATAAGAGGGAGAGAGAGAAGGTGGGCAGACGAGGAGCAAGCGTACTGCTTGCTCTCGTCACACTGTGTATCATGGTAATGTAACATATGTTGAGTCAATAAAACTACCATGAAGTTGAGATTTCTTATAGCTGCTTATAAGTCGCATGCAAAATAGCGACTGGTAATTATATAAGAGAAATGAGTCAGCACGTTAACGTATCTACTTCTATAATTTCTAGATTGGCGAATAATTTTTATAAAACGTTATATTACGTTGTAAAGTGAGTGGCTTGTTATGGTACTTCGCCACCGTCATGATCACCGGTCAGTAGCTTACACTACGTTACCTACGAGCCTTCGCGCTGTGCACGCATCCGCGATAGAGAGAGAGAGAGAGAGAGAGAGAAAGAGAGAGAGAGAGAGAGAGAGAGAACGAGAGAAAATGCATGAACAAGTCGGAATCGGTATTCGTTGACGGACTTTTGATGCGGACGGAAATACCGAGTAAGGACCAACAGCGGAAATAAGTGCGAGAAGCTCAATTCATTCGTCTGACATCGTCCCTTGGTGGTCAGCCTGCTCGCCCTCAAGGGTAACGTCCTAGGTAACGATTGCTGTTTCTTGCAGCTGATTTCTAGTTGCCAAGTAAGTGGAATAGATTAATCCCCGACACCGGAATATTAAAATCGCGCGTTCGCGTTATGTTCGTCGAATCGTCCCGCGTAATTGTTTTAGCTGCGCGTTCGTATACGATACCGAATTCTCTCTCTCCTTCTGTGCGACGTTAATAATAAGTGCGCAGATGCCGGCAGTTATGTACAGTTTGATTTGTAGATAACGAAGTGCTAGGAAAGTCTGTTAAAGAAAGTCCGTGTGCTGTAATCGAGTGTACAATTAATCTTCTTGATGATACGCATTTCGAACCTGATTCCTTTTGCGCGCGTATTGTACGTTCCGTGTACGCTTTCAGGACCAGCTATTCCGCTACGGGAAACATCTGCGCACGCGCTGACACTCTAACAGGGCGCAGAAGAGCAACCGAGGTGAGTCGATGGTATGAGGACTGACGACAAAAGCGATAGATAAATTACTTCTCTAAATTCGCCATAATAAAAAGAAAACCCTACTACAATGTGTACAACAATTATGCTTGATTATTAGCACGAACATAGAACATTAAAATCGTAAATGAAATAGTCAATTATTGTCTAATAATAATCAAAATGATTTTTTTATGTAAATAGTTGTCAAGTTCTTGATCAAATTCTCATCTAAAATTTTATGCTCTATTTTCAGGAGGGCTAATATTTGAATATACATTTCTCGATTTTTACTACGTGTATGCGATTAGATATTAAATGTAAATACAATTGAATGCACGCTTTGAATCAAATTAGTTTCACATGTAACTTATACATTTCACATTCGACCTGAAAATCTATTGTAATCGTTATTAATACTTTTTATTGTCCTTGTTTTGGTAGGGTGATTCTATTCGTTCCTTAGACAAACTTCTAATTTTCAACAAACTTCTACTCATTTAATTTCGCTTTACTTACTTGACTTTTGTAGGCAGTAAAATCGTGCTGGGCCTATAACTCGTAGGAATACTGACGATTTTCGAAAGAAAAAACCACAAGTTATAGGTTGAATAAATATTCTTATTAATCTCGCGGTAAGAGCAGCTTATCAGTCTCTTCTCCAAATACCTAATGTTTATTGATGTGACACATTATGCCGTAGGTGGCATGCGTGTGTGGAATTCGGTTTTGTTCTTCGTTTGAAAATTTTATCGTATTGAATATTGATTAATTAGAGGTTTAATAAAAAACACTTGTTTGGGAAAAAAGCAGAGAGGCATAAACAAACCCAAATTTGTTAACAAATAAATTGAAATTGAAATTGTAATTGAAATGGATTGCACGCACTTAATCACGAAAAGAAACTATGAACAATTCGCTCGATTGACCGTTAACACGTGGTGTTGGAATTCGAACGACTGCACGGTACTCATTCGCGGAATCAGCTGACACGCACGCACGCACAAAGACTCCTAACCTCCAAGGAGCTTGTGTGAGACTCCTTGCTTATATATCGCTTGTGGGCGATAATGCCCGAGAGGGCGAGAATGCCGCTTGTGAGCGGTAATGCCCGAGAGGGCGAAATCTTGTGCGTCGGGCTTTGTCGCCGCTTAAGCACAAGAACACTAGAATAGCCAGGCGCAATTGCCTTCACACACACACACTTATTTCACTCTCAGAACTCAGCACTCGATTCTAAATACACTCCTTTTTAAAACGATGAAAGGACTAACCGAAATTAAAGAAGGAAACCCAACCCGGTTGGGCAATACGTTGGTTTGCGACTTAATACTGTGAGTTTGTCGACTGTTTGAAAAACACGTACACCCAACGTGGATTGAATCGCGACCCCCCCAGTTAGGTTGGTATGAGACTATGAGTGCTACTTTTAGTCCGTAACGGTGGTTTTCAGATCGGCCATAGTATAACGCTCGTTCTTAAATTATATAATTAAAACCTAAAATCAAATAATCATGCATCTAAATTCATTGTTCGGCAAACAATTAATTTTAAACCTAAAAACAAATTAGTAACGTTTTAGCTTTTTATCGTATCTTAAAACGAATTTTCATTTTTGAATTTTCCCGCGGTTTCTTCGTTCAATGCAACGACAGAATTCTCATACCAACCTAACTGGGGAGGTCGCGATTCAATCCACGTTGGGTGTACTTCGCGGTTGAAAGGCCGGTTGCAACTGTCCGCCATGACGAACTCGCGCACGAAGCGAGCTTTCCCGGACGGTGCTGCCATCCCCATGCTCATGGAAGCCTGCCAAAGCTGGACGAGTTTAAAAGTTTTTTTTAATATTACATATGTGACGACATAAAACCTAAGATACACTACGGTACGCAGGTCGTAAAACATTGATGTCACGCACATGCATATACACACGCACGCACACGATACACACAATCACTTACACATATAGGAATGAAGGAAACCTGATTTTAACACTTATAGTACGAAAACTATTCTAAATTAAATATTTAATAATTATTTACAAGAAGAAAAATATCCTTGCAACGAGCATTCAAGCAAGCATTTAAATGGTTTTGTATTTGGCGTTTTGACATAACGCAGTCCATACTAAAACAAACGTTGAAAAAATTTTGCAACGAAATATTATTAATTTTCCATTAAACAACCAGACTAGTCGAGATTTACAATAAATCGATTTGCAGTTTAATATATATTTCATTTCATAAATATTCCATTATAGCACAAATAGCGTTCTTGGCTCACCTCTTATTGTGTAGTACCCAGAATACATATTATTTCTTTTTAAGAATGGAGAAGCTATGTGAAAGCGAGCAAATAATTTTATTTAAAAATGTTCAACTAAAATCCAACTATTAATTTAGAACAAACGTATTATTAATAGTTATTTTGAAATAAAAATTCTTTACTTCAATTTTTGATTCGCCCGTACGATCTGATTTTAGGTGTTCCGTAACAACCTTAATATATAATAACAAGAAACATAAATTTTGTGTCATTGTTGTTGTTTTGGGCATTGCATTAGAGTCGGCTTACAATACAAACTAATTTTTAGAAAATAATTGTACTGCAAGTTATATTTATATCATATTTATAAATTACTTCATTTTTGTTTCTAAGTTTAAAATAAGGTGACTTTTTTTATTTTGTTTAAACCATCAATAAGGAAATTCTACATACAAAAGATAGAAAAATTGTTTAGTAATGAAATATTTTGGTTTGTTTGTTATGGATCTTCTATAAAATAATGATTGTTTGAGAACCAAAGAGAAAAATTGTATAGCTAATAGTTACTGACAAATTGAGATTCTGTAAATTAGATGATAAAATACTTCTTGTGCTATGGAAAAAAATCTTGAATTTATTTTTTTAAATAAATTCATTTTGTAATAACTCATTATGACATTTTAAAGATTGATCAAGAGTTTACTCCAGGTAATTACTACAATTATTAGATCATATTATAGGTTTGATTTTATATTCTATATGAAATTACATTAGAATATGTTACTTATGATTTTCTGTCAACATGATTTAGTAAAAAAATTAGTTGGTTATGTAATTAATGAATAGTTAAACAATAGTAACATCAAACTTTTGCTTATACAGCATTCAACCTTATTGTGGTTTTAGTAATATAAACTTTGAGAACGATTGCTTTAAAAAAAACAATACTTTTGAAACAATTTGCTTAAATTTTATGATGATATATAATTTAATTTAATTTTATATAGATTTTGATTGGTATTGCAGGATCTGTGACTCTGTTTTCTTAATCTCATTCATATCGACATCTTTTAATATTTATTAGGTAATACAAACTATTTTGATTTTATTATTCCAATATCTATGAATTAGCACTAACTTTTGTATTTATTAATAGTAAGATGTCACGTGACCATGACAAAAGAAGGAAACGGAGCAGTAGTAAATGTAATAAGTTACGTATGGATTCAAATATATCAAGTCTGTTGAAGCCTCAAGGAGAAGATACAATAAAACGTAAAGAAATAGATTCTGTTATGCGCAAAGCAAGAGAATTTCAAACTAATTATTGGAATAAAAAACTTTTGGAAGTGGAAGCCAGAGATCCAAACAGATGGCGTCATAGTGGTTACAAAGAAATGTACATAGGAGAGTGTTCAATTAGACATTCAAAAAATTATCTTCGTAGTCCAAGACATCAAATTTCTAGATCACGTAGTCCAAAACCTCGCTATCCAAAAAGTCCTAGAAGTCCAAAACTGCGCAATTCTCATTTATCACAATCTCGAAATTTACACAGTAAATGCCTAAAGCAACGAATCAGAAGTTCACAGAGTCCGCAAATTAATTGTCCAGTTATTAGAAGATCACAAACACCTAGATTGTGCAGTCCAAAAATTCAAAAATCTAGATCACATTCTCCGGATTTTTCTCCATTAAGAACTTTTAAAGAACAAAGCATGTTAACAAAAATTGTAGATAGTCCAAGTTCTGGAAGTACGTGCTCAGACCAATCTTGTTCTGTTTGTTCGTCTAAAGTCTGCAGATCAATGGTAGATACTTCCAATTCAAAATCAAAATCTCCTTCTCCAATTAAAGGTCATGTTGTTTTAAAAGAAGCTGTTTTTAGTAGATCTGTATCAAAAAAACACAATAGAATCAATTCATCTTCCACACCTCGAGTATATAGTTCACAAACAACTCTGCCTCTTCAATGTCGTTCCAAAGAACATGAAAAGATCTCTAAAGATTTGAAAACAAGAAAAAAGCAAAAACTTGGTAAATCACCTGATGATCCTCGAATATCACAAATGGTATAAATTTGCTATTTTACTTAACTTACTAATCAATTTACTTTATTTTGTTATTATTCATTGCCTTATTATTATTGTTGTTACTCATAGTCTTTTGTTGCATAATGTTGATTATCCTTTAGTAGTTTTAGTTTTACTCAATGAAGGGGTTATACATACAGATCATTGTTGAAAACTGTTGCTTAGACCTTTTTTATTGGTAAATGTACTTTGGAAGCAGCCACGTTAAAAAATGATTAGTGCTTAGTTAAAATATTTAGAAAAGCAAAATTATGTAATAAATATCTATTGTTTATTCTTAGATTACACATACTATTTTTGAAAATTATCGAAATCTTTTATTTTACTCTGTATTGTTTAGTAGTTTACAATAATTTCATAATTTTTAATTGTTTTTTCAAATATTCAAAACATTTCTTGTTTATATATTAGAAAATAATTTTAAACAGTATTTATACTGGCAAAAATAATTTTTAATACAACATTATTAGTTCATCAAAATCGTCATATGAAATAGTTCAATAATTTTATAAATAGATTTTTATGAAAGTTAAAGTAATTTAGTTGATAATATATAATTTCTTTTGTATTTTGATATATTATAATTATTTCCAGGAAAATATTAAACTTGCATAATAATAATGAACAATAATATTATTAAAATAGAATAATTATAAAAAAAGAATTTCTGTAAAATTTTATAAAAATCAAACAACAAACAGAACCAACAGCTATAACAGAAGATTAATGATATTTAATTATTTTGATATTCTATTTTTTGTACTTTCTTCTGATATTTTTATTTAAAAATAGAAAATTACAAAAAGTGTGCATCTATTGATTATGATTGATTTTTATGTTAGAGATTTAAAATTTTAAAATATAAATTGGAATTATTTCAATATTTGATTTTATTGAGTAATGGAGTCATGAAAATATTTTATTTAGAGTTCTCAAGAACTTTAATATCATGTAATTAATAATAATAAAAGACTTATTGAAATGAACGATACATTTCAGAAAGTAAGTAAAGAATTTATTAAATTGATGTTGTTATTGAATATTGTTATCTCATATAACTGAACTAAATATTCAGTGCATGTAGAGTATATTGAGACTACTATTACTACTAAAAACCAGACGTCTGAAACAGTACATAATGTTTGAGTAATATTCTGTGTGTCATTCTTATTTGCTGTCGAATATTAATGAAATTCATGTAATATAAAGTTACATTATTCATTTTACGAATGTAAACAAAAATAATAATTATTATTGATCGTCTTGAGAAAGAATACACTGAATGAAACAAATATTATTTTTACATTTAAGGGAAGAAGTAAATTAATAAAATAATTAATTTTCAAATTTCACCCTAATATTAACAAATCAATAAATCATTCTAATGCGTGTATCTTTTATATCAAAGATAGTGCTTTACAAATAGCATGAGAAAGTTGTCACTGAATGGAAAGTCCATTATCTACCTGTAACGAGCCCCATAGAGTAAAAACTTTGTCAGTGTTGATATCAAGTTCTATATAATGGCGTTGCCTATTAGAACAATATTTTTGCTTGATTCGTAGATTTTATTGAAGTATTGCAGAGATCTTTTGCAAAATAATTTTCACTGATTGGAACATCTCAAATCCACGCTTAGCGAGCATATATGAGGTGTGTTCAAAAAGTAAGGTGACTTTTCAAATTTCACGGGCAACGTACTTTCGATTAACGATTTTTTTGTTTTGTTATGTTGGTACACTCTTCTCGAACATCTGTACCAAGTTTCAAGTGTATAGCATTTTTTGTTCGGTTGTGAGAGGCGTAAAGGTTATAAGTGTTTTGCGTGCTCGGCGATTTCTTGTTATCGAAAAATATGGATCAAAGGATTTGCATCAAATTTTGTGTAAAAAATAAAATAAAGTGCTCCGAAACACTTGAAATGTTGACGGTGGCATACGGTGAAACTGTTCTGAGTAAAAAAAATGTTTACAAGTGGTACAAACTCTTCCAAGATGGCCGGGAAGATGCCAATGACGAGCCTCGCTCTGGACGCCCAAGCACGTCAACAACTGATGAAAACGTTCAAGCAGTGAAGAAAATTGTTCTGGAAAATCGTCGAATCACTATCAGAGAAGTTGCTGAGGATGTTGGTATATCGCTTGGCTCGTGCCATGAAATTTTTTCTAACGTTTTGGGCATGATACGTGTGTCAGCGAAGTTTGTTCCGAAATTGCTAAATTTTGACCAAAAGAACCGTCACATGAGCATCGCTCAAGAACTGTTGAATGACGTCAACGACGACCCAGATTTACTCAAAAGGGTCATAACTGGTGACGAATCATGGGTATATGGTTATGATATCGAAACCAAAGTCCAATCGTCCCAATGGAAGAGCCCAGATGAGCCAAGACCGAAAAAAGCACGCCAAGTTCGATCAAATGTCAAAGTTTTGCTCACTGTCTTCTTCGATTACCATGCCGTGGTGCATCAGGAGTTCTTTCCATATGGACGTACGGTCAATAAACAGTATTATCTTGAAGTTATCCGCCGTTTGCGAGAAGCAATACGAAGAAAACGCCCAGAATTGTGGAAAAACAATTCATGGCTTTTGCATCACGATAATGCCCCTGCTCACTCATCTTTGCTTGTGAGAGATTTTTTGGCCAAAAACAACACCACAATCATGTCTCAGCCACCATATTCACCGGATTTGGCCCCATGTGACTTTTTCTTGTTCCGAAAACTAAAGAGACCTATGAAAGGACGGAGATTTGCAACGATTGAAGAGATAAAGGCTGCATCGCTGGAAGAGCTCAAGGCTATACCGAAAAGTGCTTATGAGAAGTGCTTGGAGGATTGGAAAAACCGTTGGCATAAGTGTATTGTATCTGAGGGGGATAACTTTGAAGGGGACAACATAAATATTGATAAATAAATAAATATTTTTTCTTAAAAATACAAAGTCACCTTACTTTTTTAACACACCTCGTATAATATTCACAAACTTCCTCCACAATATCTTTTAAACCTTTCTTCTCATCTAGATGGAGTTTATTGTAAATAACAGTAGCATTAGCTAATGAAGCTTGAATAAGTCTCATGAAGAGACACCACGTCCATTTTTTGCTTCGGATTGTAGGCATAAGTGCATTTCAATGCTGGTCGTGTAAGACTACTCCACCCATGTGCCTATTATACATTGAGAAAGCTTGAGAAAGAGAATATTTTGTTTAGTTTTATTATGCCATCTTTTCATTTCAACTTTCGGTTCATCTCCGTATTTACTTGAGAGAACTGATACGGGTTTTGAGTCCATCACCGTTATGTAATTCAGTTTTGAATTGGCTTCATGAACTGAGATAGTGGTTCCTCTATCAGCTTTCTTTGATATATCGACTTTTGCTTTGACGCGATTTTGACGAACAGTTCCTATAGCCGATAATCTAATATTTCTTAAGTGAATCATGAGATCTGGAGATGTAAAGAAGTTATCAAAAAACAAATGATATTTTGCCAGATTTTCATTTTTAACAGTCTCCAGGAACCTTTGAAGTAATTTGATAACCACTCTCGATCCCAAACAAACAGAAGCTAAAGGATTTTCAGATTCAGTACCAAGCTTGCCCGTATATATATCTAAATCATATATATATCCATCTGAAGAACATAGTGCCCATAGCTTTATCCCAAATCTTATAGGTTTGTTCTTAATGCATTGCTTAATGCTGAATCTTCCAAAATATTTGACCATAACTTCGTCAATTGACAAATTATAATAAAAAAATCCGTATCTCATACAATATTCCCTAAATAATTCAAATAAATATCTGACTTTCCAGACTTTATCTTTTTCATCTTTGCCTTGATGTTTATAAAACATGATGTTTTTTTTTATTTTTACAAATTTTTCCCTTGGCATAAGTTCTTTTATTATTGGACACTGCAAAAATCGTTTGTTGGACCAAGAGTCAGACTGCTTTTTCCTAGAATTGACTATAGTAATCATAATGATCACGATGAATCGGTCTAAATCATCATTGGTCAATTCAAAGTGGTTTTCGGAAGTAGCTTCTATAATAAAGTTTTTCATTGATTGAGAAAATAAGAGTTCAAACAATTCCAAAGAACTTTTTGAGTAAAATGATGAAATAGATGAAAGATCATAGTCATCATCTGGAAGATCGTCATAATTCAAAGCATTATCACGCCAATCATACTTATGATTCGGTTCTAGTAACTTCTGATCACTAGTATAAGAACTCTTTATATGTTCATACGATCCTGTAGGAAGCGGCTAAAGTGAAGTACGAGGTGTGTTCGAAAAGTAAGGTGACTTTGTATTTTTAAGAAAAAATATTTATTTATTTATCAATATTTATGTTGTCCCCTTCAAAGTAATCCCCCTCAGATACAATACACTTATGCCAACGGTTTTTCCAATCCTCCAAGCACTTCTCATAAGCACTTTTCGGTATAGCCTTGAGCTCTTCCAGCGATGCAGCCTTTATCTCTTCAATCGTTGCAAATCTCCGTCCTTTCATAGGTCTCTTTAGTTTTCGGAACAAGAAAAAGTCACATGGGGCCAAATCCGGTGAATATGGTGGCTGAGACATGATTGTGGTGTTGTTTTTGGCCAAAAAATCTCTCACAAGCAAAGATGAGTGAGCAGGGGCATTATCGTGATGCAAAAGCCATGAATTGTTTTTCCACAATTCTGGGCGTTTTCTTCGTATTGCTTCTCGCAAACGGCGCATAACTTCAAGATAATACTGTTTATTGACCGTACGTCCATATGGAAAGAACTCCTGATGCACCACGGCATGGTAATCGAAGAAAACAGTGAGCAAAACTTTGACATTTGATCGAACTTGGCGTGCTTTTTTCGGTCTTGGCTCATCTGGGCTCTTCCATTGGGACGATTGGACTTTGGTTTCGATATCATAACCATATACCCATGATTCTTCACCAGTTATGACCCTTTTGAGTAAATCTGGGTC